TTTATCTGATCTCTTCATTAACAGATTTTGGTGTCGATTGAACTTGGAAACTCCAATCAGGCATGAACATCAGGGTTTTTTTTTAAACAAAAAAGTGGACTATTTTAAATATTTGACTTTTATCAGCTAAACATCGGTCATTACATGGCATATTTGATGACAGTTACTTTATCAATAAATCATCAGTGATCCTATGTGCTTTCTCTATGCACTGTTCTCGCCATCTTTTGTAAGATTCACGCATTGTCAACAGCTTTTAAGATCGTCCTTCCATTTATTGACTACTTTTCAAATAATTGATCTTGGTAATTTTATCCCGTTTGTAATTTGTCTTGCATCATTTATCATCTCCATTTAAAAAAAAAAGTCACACGTCAATGAAGTTTGTTTCTCCGTTTTTGTTCGTGTGACGAAAAATTGTGGTACTTATGTTTATGTTGAAAATAGTTTTCTGATGTTACTTATGTTAATGATGTGTTACTTTTTTAGCAACTTTTTCTTGCTTCCGTGAATTTTCTTTCCGATTGGCTGTTAAGGTTGTTTTTTTTAATTTTTTCAATCATTTTCATCACTGGAAGAAAGGGATCGACTTTATATTTGTCTCTTCTTCAAAGTTTGTTTTACCAAATTAAATAAGAGTTTCAGATTCTAAATACGACATGGCGCTTTTGCCGTTGCATCTTTATTCAAAAATTAGTTGTTCATAAATAAGGTCTAATTCGTCTTGGCACCGGGTATCTGCTCACCAACAGTACATCTGCCTAGAACTAAGACCAGATCAAATCTACATATTGATGTGTGTGTTAAAACTCAAGAAAGAAGTTTTTATTTTTCAAACTACCAATGTTTACAAAGTAGTTTTGCTTTTTTGCATTGGCGGATCTACAAAATGAAAACCTCTTCATTGTAATTAAAGAAGGTGTAGACATTACTTGATATTTACAGTTAACAATGAGGGACTTTAGACAGTTTATGGAAAGCTTTCAAAAAAGAATCAAGTGAATATTGGTTTTTGTAGAGTGTGTCAATACGAATAAGCCCTTGAGATATTTCGGAAGGATATTAGAATAATCCAAAACTTATACTGGCAGCATAAGGATAAGAAATGAATGCAATAAAATATACAAAGATAATACAATGCGATAAATATACAAAATAGAAAGGGATGTAAGACAAAGGGCGATTCTGGGAGAATTAGAAATCCTATCAGGATTTATTATTCATGGCTAGAAGCTTAACATAAAATATGCAGATGACACAGTGTTGATAGTAGACATAGAAAGAAAACTACAAGAACTCATACGGAAGATAGTGAAAGAAATCAAGAAGGAAGCACTAAACAACAACTGCAATAAGAGAGAATGCATGGTTGTCAGCAAAAGGAACAGCCCAACATACAAATTATACATTGGAGATACGAAAACCAAAAGGTCACATAATGAGGAAAGAGGGCTTGGAAAATCTGATACTCACAGGACAAATTAAATGCAAGAACAATAGAGGAAAACAACGCCTAACCTACCGAGCGAGATTGAGTAAATGAATTGCAGAACAAGGTTTAGGAAAGATAACAAATAGACAAAATTTATTTTATTATTGTTATTACAAGGAAGAGGAAATTGTGGAGAGAGATGATCGCCAACGTCCTGAAAGAACAAAACACATAGAAGAAGAAGAAGAAGAAGAAGAAGAAGAAGAAGAAACGGATGGCCGAAAAGGGTTTAGGAGGGATAACAAAAAGACAAAAATTGTTAAGAACTACAAACGACAGGAAGTTGTGGCGAGCCATGATCGCCTACGTTCTGAAGGAACACAGGGCATACAAGAAGACATGTAGAATTGGATAAGTGAAAATCGCTGTTTATGGCGTTAATTTGAATCAACGGTGTAGTCGACAATTGATTAGGTATATCTTTGTAATCGAGAGTTTTGGTAGCTAAACCTGAAGTTAGAATGGATCTCTCCTAGATTCTTCTAGGAGTTGTCGATCAACATTTGATCCTTGCGACCGATGCACTCACCATTGCTCTGCATCCTACCGCCTTATTACATTTGCTTCCAAATTTAAATCTGATTTGTTCATCGGCAACGCCAGCCGTCAAAGATTTTCTAAATCTCGAAAGATCAAGAGAAATCGCTGGTCCGTGTCTCCGACAAGCAACAGATCGACACATATTTCTTAAATTCTATTTCACTTCAAAATATTAACTTACACAAGTAATTTTAAAGGTTTTTGCAGACTTTCTTCCAATCTGGGTAAAAATTTGGAAATTTTTGTCGATGCTTCACACGACTTCTTTTGCTATGCGAAAGAAACAACAGCTGGCTGTTTTTTTTTTTTTTGGTGGGGGCGGGGGACAAAGAAAAAAAACGAACGGCAGTTCATTCTTTTTTTTCATAAAATAAAAAGGACATTACTATTTATTTAGAAAAGCTTTTAGCTGCTTTTATGGACACTAAAAAAATCGATGAATAATTATTTTTTACAAGAACTGTTTTCATTCTTAGAATTTTAATTAGAATAAATTATAAGCTTTTAAAATTCTGTATTAATTTGTAGCGGTCAAGTAATATTGTTATTAAATTAAGACTAATCATAAATGGAAAAGCTCACTAAAATTCAATGACCTTCCCAGTATTTTAAAAAGAATTTTGAATTTATTTTATATGTGTATAAACGTATCAACTTTTGTAAATACAGATGTCCAAATGCGACATTATCATAAAATTTCCTCAATAAACGTCTTCAAAAATTAGTCTATGAAGCCAAAGCACCTAAAATTAAATAAATAGATTTCTTACAATATATTCTATATTTTTTTAGATTAATGGGTAGTTAAAAAAAATAAAAGCCGTTCTCAGTTTTAAGTCAGATTAATAAAACTTTAAATCAGTTAATCTTCCTCAAATAATGTTTCAGAAAAACATATTTTATTTTTGAAAGATTTTTTTAATAAAGAGAATTACGTTGTATTGACAGATTTGTCAATTACGGTTTTTACTGAGAATGGAAAAAACTAATTCCAAACAATTTAAATTCGGTTTGAAATGCAGTAAAGTATTTTGTTTATTGAAAATATTCAGTTTAATTTATTAGCTTGGAATAAAAGTTTCAAGATTTTTAATTTTTAAAAATGAATTTTAGTCCTTAGGTATTTCTTTTCTTTGGAGTATATATATATATATATATATATATATATATATATGTGTGTGTGTGTGTGTGTGTGTGTGTGTGTACAAACAAGTTTTGTTAAATTCAACCAAGGTTTGCGTGTTTAATGTTTTATTGTATTTTCCCAATTTTCGTATATGAAATTTTACATCGCGATCAAAATTGTATATAAATTTTTCGAAGTTCATCTTTTGTTCTGTTTTAGTACAAATATTTTCGCTCATCTCAGTCATTATCAAGAACTAAATGTTGTCTGTTTGGTAGACAAGATTTTGTTGACTACATTGTGATGTGATGATCGATATATTCAAGAATTGCACTAAGTTTCGACAAGTGACAAGTCAACCTACGAGAGAGTATGGTGCATGTGTAGCCAATGTAAGAATTTAATGTTTTTTTTATTATTACTAATATCGGAGATGCCATCCCTCAAAGGACATTCATACAGAAATTTTGCACGTAATTTAAGTAAACCTTTTAATTCATTGATTTTTAAGATTAACAGATTTTTCAGGTTTATTGAGGATGCACCAACTAAACTTAGATTTTCCTCCTCTTCTGATATGCCTAAAATGCACCATTAAAAGAAAGTCGTTAAAATACCAGGAAAGAGATCAAAGATTTTTATTTATTTATACGATTTTTCTTCTGAAATTTACCATTTTGTCTCCATTACTGAATAGCTTTAATTTTTACCTCTGTTCAGCTTATGTCTTTCTAATGACCCATGGAAGTGTTTATATATCTGAAATTTAAAAATTAATACCAATATACTCTCTGTCTTATATATAAGATTTGTTCATCCTATATATATATATATATATATATATATAGGATGAACAAATCTTTAGTTGCATAATAAAATCTCCCAACAGTAAATAGTTTATTGCAAATATTTCTAATCAAAACAAATATTAGTCGCTGAAATTCACAAGGTAGATTTTATTATAAGTATGTCCTGAAAATTTAATCAACCTCAGTTGGTTAATATCAATTATTGCGAAAATATTGACTTGCAGAATAAAATCTGACATTGTTTAGTTTGTAATAAGAATCAAGAGAAAAGCAACAAATAATACAGGAAACCAATGTTTTCTCTTATGTTAAACAAAGACAAGTATATAGTAATAATAATAATCGCGCTACCTTTTCCTGGTGGTTCAGGTTGCTTAGTTATAAGTCGAGTGAATTTTTATCAAGACGATTTGTATTAAATACTAGATTTTGATAATTGAACTCTCAAATGAATAAAATTGGTGCGCGCCTACACACACACAAAAACATTTTTCCTACGTATTTATGTAAAATGAAATAAAAATATTAAATATTTTCAAGGAGAATGTTATTATTATCATCATTTCTTTAGCCACATAGACGAAGTTTTATTTATACCATTCTATTCAATTATTTATCGAAGTTTATTTTAATTATTAATAAAAAGAATTTCCTTAAATATCGATACCAAAACTTTCGGTTGTCTACCGTTTGAGCAACTATTTCTGTTTATTTTCTTTCTACTTATCCCATTTCTCTTTCTCATATGTATAAAGATTAATTGATTGATTCGTTTTTTACGGCTTACCAACCCTTTGCAAGTTATTTAAAGTCAGAAAATATTTTTAGAGTGTAAAATTTTTTTTGAGATAATAATGATTTTTTTTTATATATTAATGATTTCAGGATACAAGTATTACGAATTAATCCATAGCTGAGGAAGAAGAGGTGGGTTCATGCCTTTCGCATAAGTGAATATAACAAACCCAACCGGAATTGGAACTCGGCTTTCCGATTAACAATTCCGAGTCATTATCCATCCACATATTCAAGTTTACAGCAACTGTTATTCCGAAGTGGTCACCCATCTAAGTAGTAACCAGGCTTAATTTTGCTTGACTTCGGTGATCGGGCGGGAAACAGTGTTTCAACGTGATGCGACCGTAAGGAAAGAGAGAGAGAGAGAGATTTCTTTAAGTTAGATGTTACAAAGACGGTTGAAATATTTTCCAAGTCAGTTATTTTTTTATTCAAAACATTAGTTTCGAAATCTTCAAGCCTTGAATATTGCGCTCATACATGAAACAGACTGTCGCTATTCGGTGTTCCCCTCACTGACCACTTTTCTATTTACATAGGCTCTAGCCTTTATATTGCGCACCTTTTACACGTTATCATTATGGATTTATTTTTAATTTGACATTTTTATTACTTCAAACATTATTGTAGTTGATACATCGTATTTGAAATAGACGTCCAAACACAGTGTTTAATAAATAAAAATGGAGGCCTGTATCGTCCAGCTCATTCGAGAAATCTTAGTAATGTCGAAGAAAGCATTTTCTTTACTAAGATTCCTCAAATGCGCTGGCCGAGAGATCGAATACACAATGTTTAATAAATAAAAAATGGGGCGTCTATTTCAAATACGCATCCACCATAATAACATTTCAATATATATAAGTGAACATTGAAGTCAACACTCAGAGGCGACAGGCTGTTTCATGCTAGACGCAATCATCAGGCCACCTGGCCTTTGAGCGTTGACTTCAATGTTCACTTTTATATTTACATACACTATCTCTGATATTGAACACTTTATCGCATAAATATAGTACACCTTATATATATATATTATTCACACGCTGGTATGTCAAAAGTCATAGGATAACCGTATGTAAAGGTAATGGAAGGTGGTACTACATGTCGTGACCAGAAGCGTTTGGCTAGAACTGTCTGCAAAATTAAACGGGCAAGTAACACTGGCTCAAATCACATCCACATTCAATGCAAGATGAACTAGGCGCATATCCAGTAAGTCAGTTCAGCGGTTTTTAGCTTCCATGATATTTGGTAGCAGAAAGCCCACCAGAGTGCCTTTGTTAACAGCCCCGACACCAGACACAAGTGCCTCTCAGATATTTGGAACCTGGAAGATGGCCAGTGTGTGACATGGTGCTATGGTTCCAGTTGTTTCGGGTCGATGATGGAGTTCGAGTGTCGCGCAAAGTAATGGAGCTACAGGCACCAGTTATCATGCAAGACACCGTGCTAGCAACATAATAGTGTGGAATGTGTCTACCTGACACTGGTTGGTTGGTCGGTTGCTTGCTTCCGTTGGTACGTCAAAACACGTCGCAGGCCATTAGAGTAAACTGTATAGTTATCATTTGCACTCATGGACGACAGTAACGATGAAATTACTTCATCAAGATAAAGTACCGTATGATTGGGCCGAAGTTGACAACGATTGTTTTGTAGACTTCCAGTGATATGTGTAGCTACCAGAGCCCAATCTCTGATGGAGCGGAGGCTATTCGAACGCAAAACCATGCACCTATAAACATCAGGGAGCTGTGGTCAGCTATCGAGACTGCTTGACCCACACTTCACTAAACGTCTTCCGACCTCATGTGGAATTAAGACCACGTCCAGGTGCTGCAACAGTTAAATGAAAATGACTCCATTATATCTATTGGTGTGTATCTGTGTATACGTTGAAATTTCTGTCCATGTTTGTCATGAGATAAAGAAAAAGTGTTACATTCTGTTGATATACACTCTTTTTTTTCTTCGTCAGTTCATTCGCTGTCAATTTCTTATTATACCTTGTCGGTCATTGTCCATTTCAATCGACCTGGACGTTAAGAATTTGGTCGAATTACATTAAGAACACTGTTCACATCATGAAGGACGCGAGTTCGATTCCTCGTTCCGTGATTAAGCTTACGTTTCCTTTATCGACCATGCAAGAAAATAGGCGAAGAAAGAAAAAAGGAAAAAAAACGGAAAGGCTATTTTCTTTAAAAAGGGGAAAACACGCCATTTACTTGTATCAAAGACATTTTTTATTGATGTTAGAATTTAAGCTACGAAATTTCGTCCGAAATTTGCGTCGGGACAGATTTTTATATTTTGAAGAAAATTAATTTATATGCACACATAAACACATATGTAAAAAGTTTTTTTTTTTTTTTAATCCGATGCCACTTTTTGAATTAATTTTCAAACGCAAAAATATACTATTTGTTTCTTAAATTATATTTATTCCTCCAAATAACAAACATTAATTGTATTGTTATCGGGTGGCATCAACGCGGCGATATACTGCAGGGTAGCGTTGAATTGGTCGCCTTCATCGGGTAGTTTGCCTTCTACACATGAACTCGGCCAAGTTGGTCTCAAGATGGTGTCGTGCCGTTCCACGGTGACGCTTCTTCGTCCATTTTGCTGATCCTTCACAAACATTCAATATCCTAAGGGTGGACTCTGGTATTTGCATCAACGAAATTGTATCGATGATTAACCTTGAAAAGTTGGAAGCCAGCCTCCACGGATCTAATAAAAAGTGGCGACAAATAAACCCACAAGTGCCACATTTTATTTTCTTCTTTAAATATCTGTTTCTTGACTTTATTTGTTTTTTTTTTTTTGTTATTTTGTTTTTAACTTAAAGCAACATTCTTTCTCAATTTCATCAGGAAAGAAACGTCACTAGATTATTAGTTTCAAAGATTGTTTTTAGTTTTTTTTTTTTTTTTTTTTAATTCGAGTAGAAATTTCAATTTTTTATCAACTGAAAGCCACAATCGGTTTAATTTAAATTCTGTTCATTATTACAATTATTCTTGTTTGTTATATGAGAGGCAATTAATTGTTTTCATCATCGACTTGTATTTTTCTCGGAGATAAGAACATTACTTGGTGACTGAAACAATAACGCGTTTACCTTTCCTTCTTGCAGTTGGTGATCAGTTAAAAGCTAAGAATTCAAATTTCAAATGCAGAGTTGATATATGAACATGTTACAAGCATTCGAAACAATTCACTCTTGATAATAGCCGTCAGTCCATTTCTCAAATCTGAAATCCTTAATTTAGATAGACTTACTTATAAATACCTGTAATTCTTCCAGTTTGCTTCAAGTTTTTATTATTATTATTATTATAAAAACTGAAAAAAAATGGCAATAAACAAGATTTTGCCGGCAGTTCAACTCCAGTTTTAATTTAGCTAAAAATTATTTCAAATAAATGTGGCCAGTGTCATTAGAGTGTACACGACTCCAATTTAATTTTCGATCAACTTGGATCACACTGAGGAGATGCGGCTATCAGTGGGGATTGGATTCAAATATTGACTGACACTTAATTTTTCTCTAACTGAAACAATTCACATCTTTCCGCAAGCTGTCTCACAGCTAGGCTGCTACCCCTATTGTAAACCTTGTCAGGAGCAATATTTCACGGAATTGTAATGAAGTCACTAGGTCAACTAGAAAAATAAACTAGAATTGCTTTTAAGAAGCAATTTTCTTAAGATCTTTTGACAGTACTCACGTTTAAACAAAACAAAACTGGGGTTAAGCATCAGATTTGTCGTATCATTAGCCTTGAAAAAAAAAAACCACCGCTTATCTTCAAAGATGAAAACATTTTATATTTTTTTTCTTTTTTTTTTAATCATTCATCTTTAACAGTAAGTAAAACTGTCACTTGTGCCAAATTCTAAAACTTGAAAAAAAATTGATTCCATTTTCGTACGTGTTCTACATTTCAATGGCAACTATGAGGAAGTGAGTTAAAATCAACTTCGGCCTGAGTGTGTCCAACACTTACTTCGCGCCTCTCTCAAGTGAGGAGGAAATAGCCGCCATTCTCCCTACTCCCCTCTCCTGATGACGTCATTAACGATTCAATTTTTGGTCTGCGCGGCAAAAACTGAATTTGTCTCAAGTGCACTCACGTCAACAACTAGAAGGGAGAAGGGAACGGGCTTTCCAGTTAAATCGCTCGAATGGCACAGACACGATTTACAGTTCAAAACCCTTTTACTGTGAAACTTGTCAGTAAAAATAACTCATCAAAGAAACGGCAAGCTGTGAAATAAGCGATACACGCGCGATAAAACGTTACGAATCATTTTGTGGCCGGCCAAGCAATTTTCCTTTTCAGAATGTGGTTTAAAAAGAAAAAGTTTGAAAAATTTGAGGGCAATCAAACACGGATTTTCTTGTAAACAATGTTTAATGGAGTAGAAATTTGAACCGCGAGATTTCATTGCTGTCTTCTTGCTAGTCGGGCTGTTATAAATTGAAAGAGGTGTTTACGGTGTTCCTCTCTCGATTTTTTTTTCTTTCTCTTTTAACAACCCATCATCATTGTCAAACGTTAGCAGCAACTTTACTTGTCGAAACGTGTAAATATTTATTCTAATGATAATGACATCAATTTTAACTGACGTTTTTTTTTTGTTTTTTTTTTTGCGGAGGTTCCGATATATGGTGTCGAAACTGAATCCGACATCCTGATTACTCTCTCACCGAGCAAGCCGGCACGAACATATGAAATCATCAACCGGCTCGATATTTTTATTTCTTATAAAATTCTTAATTTTTAATTACTTAATAATGCTTTTTTTTTTTAAGTATTATTTATTAGTTAAATAAGTACCAACAAAGAAAGTTTAGTATTTATCTATATTTCCGAGATGAGGTATTATGTATACTATTTACATTATTCGGACTATTGTCCTCATCTTTGTCGCCATATTTATTACATATTTATTACTACGTTGTACACACATGGCACAGTGGATAAAGGCGTTGGTTAGATCCAGTGACAAGACCCAAAGAGAGTGGGTTCAATACCTGGTTAAACCTGGGGAACTTCGAGAGGAGAATTAACAGGAGATAACTGATAACTAACATCCATTAAACATGCCACGTGGAACAAGAACAGCCTACCTCAGTGAGCGAAATAAAGGGTTCAGTTCGACATTCCAACCACCTGAAGAAGGCCGGAGCGTACAACGGCTGAAACGTTTGGCGACAAAGATAATAAATGAAAGGGCGTTGACGAAAGATGAGGACAATAGTCCGAATAATGTAAATAGTGTAAATAATACCTCATCTCAGAAATATAGACAGATAATGAAAGGCCGAAA